CATTGTGTGTCTTAATGATTCCGTGGAGTGAATCTCTTTGCAGAATACTGAATAAACGGGCTGGAAAAAGCTTAAGTTGACACAAAGGATCGGCAGACCCGTGGGTTTCAGAGGCGTTATCGCAGCGGCTGGGTGGAATTCTGTGAGTCTGTGATTCTGTGACCGTCACAGGGTTGAGATTCAAATCCCTAAACCCGAGGAGGTCTGGTCTTCAAAGAGCTGTTCAGGAAAAAAACAGGAGGAAAATCACTCGGATACATTCTGTCTCCAGCGTGTGGATGTGCGGAGGGTGAGGTGACAGCAGAGGGTTTTGTCACCTGTATAACCCCCCGCTGTTGCCTCTTAATTGGTAATTTCCCTCCGCGGAGCAGACGTTACTCGCTGATGTTCTGTGCCAGTTTCTCTGGGGTAACGAGCCTCCAGCTGACTCAACTCACCTTTGCGTGTAATGCCTTTATTCTCTCTTAAAATGCACCTACTTGCTGAGCAACCCATAATGTTCGTGGCTTTCTGGTCAAGGGAAATAGTCTCATCAAGCAACTGAAACGCAACTGTGTGTTGGCACCAAACTTACCTTGCTCTTTGTCTGCGTCAGTGGGAGTTGATAATCCATCTCCATTTGTAGCAAGAAAAGGAAGTCCCCCATCTTTAAGTAATAAACTGTTAGAAAATAGGCAAAAAAAAAAAAGCTTAAAAATTCCCACAGTTCAGAGGCAGCAAAAAATCCTCTGCATCCTGCGGTGTCGTGGTGGTTGCAGTGAAGCATCCCGATGTGATTCAGCTCTCACACCTCCTCCGCCCCAGATCTCCGGGCAGCCATCGCTGCCGCAGGAGCTCCCCATCCCTGCAGACGGCTCCTTCTTCCCTGGCACTAACGCAGCCCTGTCGCCTCCAGCCCAAAGCTGCTCCTTGCCCAAAAGTTTCTCGTGATAATCCTGCGGGTGGGCGGCGGTTCAGGCTGGGAGCCATCTTGCTGGGGCTGAAGGCGAGTTCTCTCTGGAGGAACCTGAGGGCTCATCTCCACCTTGTATCAGGTTTCGCATCCCAATTTCTCCTCCTCCTCGACCCTGGAGGACCCTTTGGTGGCGAGTTTCGACCCGTGTCTCCCCTTTTGCTGCTGGAGGGCGGGCCAAGGGGTGAGCGTCCCTCTGCGCCCACCTCTCATTGCTCGGGGAAGGACCCAGCGGGGTGTGAGTCCTCCAGTCCTCCTGAGTGCTCCCCTGGCAAACAAGTGGGGCACTGACACACCCCCCCCCCCCCCCC